AACACACACCAAATGCTGCAGAAGTTTGTTAACTACTGTGGGTTGCAAGACGAGTAAGAAGCGGAACTTCAGTAACAAATCAAAAAGTCCAGGACTTATTGTAGACAACACTGTATTTGACCATCTCTCCTTACACTCCACTTCCAGTCACACTGGTGAGCAAGAATCATTATACTATATTGTACTTCCCTCCCAGCTGAACCCGACACACCACCTAGAAAAGATCTGGCAGCATTCAAAAAACATACAGAAAAGAAAAAAACAAGCACTGAAATAAATTCCTGACTAACATCACCTAATTCAGTTGCTGGGCTAGAAAGAGCCACATCTCTGCACTGCATTACTCCTGTCTGTCTACATTCTTTACAGCAATTAGCACTTCTGCTGAAGAGCTGAATGCCCTTGACTTGGTTTGCTCACAATGCAACAAAATTGGTCCTTCCTACATTTCTGTACCCTGTAGCAGCAATAAATTAATCCATTGCATTCACCTAAAGTGTCACGCACCATTTGCAAAGTGTGCAGGTTATCCCTGACCACCCACATGGCTCAACTGTATGTCGAGATACAAGGATCAAGACTAATACGTTTAATGAGCCAAGTCATATCACTTAATCACCCTAAGCATGGCACCTCCACAAGCTAGGAGGTGCTCCCACATTCCCTGGCCTCCGGGCACCTGCTGCTATAGAAGTTTAAAGGAAGCTCAGGGCCACTCATCCATTCAGCTAGTGATAAAGCTTGCTGTGCGTTTCCTAACCCCACTCCAAACTAACCTTCCTCTACTCCTCCATCCCAAGAAACAGAAGCACCAGCCACTTACCAGCAAGGACACCGAAAGAGTCATAGAAGAAACAAGTCATCCTCATCGATGGCAGAACTCCCTGCCCTTTCCCAAGCAACATGACACTGTTTTACCCTCTTTTTAGGCAGATTCTGGGAATAAACAAGCTTGCTTCAATAGAGAAGGCTATGGGTCTGAAGCACTGTATAAAAAAAAAAGATCAAAAAAAGATCTGACGCACGTTTCCTTTTTCTGTCCCACTGCCTGATGACTGGGCAGTGCTGTAACACAAGAGCGTTGTCCTGACCCCAGGCAGCACATCAAAGTTTACCGTAAGCGGACTATTGTGCTCAGATACCTTCAGCGCAATAGAAGGATAATGGACCTAATAAAAGCCCAAGTTCATGCTTTTAATTGCACTGCAGGAGAGGAGAAAGCAAGGAGGGGCATAACATACTCCTCTCTCTTTGCACTTGCTCCTTAAAACCACTGTAATCTGTAAGGACTTACATGAACATTTTTTGGAAGAAAAAAAAAATCCTGCAATAACAAGTAGTTGCTCAAAAAAAGGTAATTAAACTGATGAGGGAAACTGCCATGAAGGGAGACTACAAGACTGAAAAGCTTGAGAATATTTACTTAAGATCAGCTTAAATCTGGATAAGTAAAGCTCAACTGTTACAGGTCCAGAAAAGACCTTGTCTGGAGAGAGATTACCCCTAAAATTGCCCAGAGGTTGATTCTTGCACTTTCCTCTGAAATATCAGACATTAATCACTTACCCGTGCTCCTTAAATCACATACGAGTTTTCTAAAGGAGCTACAGACTTTGGGAGCACAACTAAAGACACAGTACAGAGGCTTCTTTCAAAGACCAGGCTAACAGCCTGCCTTCTGGGGTACACAGAAAAGGAGAATCACTCACAGACTACCACACCCGAGTGAAAACAAAGACCTTAAAGCAGTCGAGGAATTGACCAGTTTTGGCTGGAGAACAGTTTATCGTCAGGTTGCCTCTACATTTTTGCAGTCTCCTGGCCTAATGTCTCGCTGTTAAAGCAGTTATTTTTATAGGCCATGTCCAAATTTGTCAGTTGGAGCCATTCAATGCCTGTGTTGCTGTCTATAAAATGCTACAAGGCAAGTCATGAAAAGTCTGTTTACTGACAGCAGGTATGGGAAGACCTCGATTTCGTGTCTTCATCCCAGACATTAATCAACAGTATTTGCCACATGATGTTGAGACATGAACATTTGCCTTCACAGCAGGCCTATACACAAGCCTACAGAAGGACCCTCCCTAGATCTGGTCACAAAATTGGAAGCTTAGGACAACTGGCAACAGCAATTCATTGCAGTCCTACCCGTAACAATAAAAATCATTGCGAGGAATGGGTCAGCCAGAGGTTTAAAATATGCAATTAGAAGTACTTGTCTAAAATTACATGCCAAGTCTCCGCAGCATCTCTTTCTGAACCTAACCCTTTTAGCTGGAATTGGCAATTATTCAAACACGAACAATCTCAATTACTACATCATGACAATACAGTGAGGAATACAACTGAGGCATAGTAGTATGGACAAGCCACGTAGGAGATTTGAAAAGAGTACCAAGGGATGGCATCAGGACAAAAAGACCGACTGTGAAAAGGGAAGAGATGTCGAACTCCTACACTAGCGTGAGCCATAAGAGGATTTGAACACAGGTCATCTTAAGAGTCCTACATGCAACCCTGCACAGGCGCACTGAAGTGGAACAGCTTGGATGGAGCCTTTCCTCTTTACAAGAGCAGATTTGCAGATACCTACAATGATAAAAATAGCATTAGTCACTAGATGGAAACTGGAACCATGGTTCAAGTCACTTGCTGAAGATCATACAAGTGTAGAGCTAGCCAGGACTCCTGAATTCTGTCTCTGTTCTACTTTCTAATTGCAGTCACCAAACCAAGTGCCTGAGGTAACACTACAGAAGCTGTCAAGATGCAAGTGGAAAGACAGACAGGGAGGATTAAAAAAAATCCTAGAGAGCTGCTTTAGGAGGAAAGGTGGTACAAGGCCTCATCTCCCCGCCTTTCCTCAACCCCTGCCAGCCAATATTTACTATGGAAAGTTTTACCCAAGAGAGCTTTCTCACCTTTAGTGGAGACACCTCAATGTCCACAGGAATGACTATTTCTGCCT